CTTTTGGGGGCATACATTTTCATTGTTACATGCCATTTGACTTTCAAATACTGTAGCTTGTGAGAGCAAGTACTGTAGGGGATAAAATTCCAGCTATATAACTAAGTAACATGGGAAGTACTCTTGTCTCAAACAGCGGGATTTACGTTGAACTTTTTACTTACCCAAACTGTCTTGATGGCAAAAGATTGCTTGCCCATTGTTCTATGTCGTGAACTTTCAAGTCATAACGAGGACTTATGACACCACACTGCAAACAAGATGATGAGAACTGTCAGGACACTTTGTTTAGCAAATGAAAGCAGATAAGCTTTAGCTTGATTGTGACACCTTATAAACATGCAAACTCTGAATAATCAACGATTTCTTGTTTTGCTGTTGTCTGACAATCATCATAACTGTGGGTTGTAATTGTTAGATTTGGATTCATTTTGTTTGTTTCTTTATTTAAAGGCTTGTTGGTTGACCTCCTAATTAGGATTGACAGCAGCAAAAAACGCAGTTGTTAGTTAGGTTTTAAACTTCGTAGTTTGTACGTTATTGAAAGGTACAGTAAAATAACAAGTTTTTCTAAACTACAGCCATAATTTTTTATTAGACTACAGACTGACAAACCTGTGCTAAGGACGACATCTACAGTACATGTACTCTAGTTATCATGCATACATTCTGCGCATCATACAATGTATGGATTAAGCCTTCTTCACACTAGTGACATAACAGCAATGATATAACAACATAATCGCATTATGTCAGTAATGTGAACATCGACATAATGACATAAGGCTATGGTCTTTAAATTCCTTCATACTTTTGTCAAACGATATTGGATGGCATTGAACTGCTTCGGCAAGTGTTTCTTCATCTTTCCAAGCCAACAGTCAATTCTTGCCAAGACACCACCATTTTGAAAATAGTGCTGGTGGCAGACTGGGTTCAACAATTCTTGTGCAGCTCAGATTGGCGCTTGGCTTTGTTGTTATGTCGATGATGTTCACACTTGTTTTAACAGAAACCTAACATAACGACATAAGGAAAAGATCAGTTTCTTCCTTATGTTGTTATGTTGCTCTTATGTCGTTATGTCAGGATGTTCACACTGCCAACATAATGATGTAACGTCCTTCTTATGTTGTTATGTTGTTATGTCGCTAGTTTGGACTAGACCTTACACACCAGGCAAGTGGTCGGGCTATCAACAAAGAAACCAAGTGTGTTACTTCTATGCAAGCTAAAATTGTACTTATCAGTATGACTGCTTCCTATGTTGACCTTGTCATGTTCAGTGAACATGCATGAAAACCTGGAACACCATAGTAGCAGCATACAACTAACTAGCATCTGCCGAATATCATACTAAGATCAAACAGCAAGTGTCTCTCTGAAGATAGCCTAGTCTGTGACTAATTGGCTATTGTTAGTCTAAGCTGACTAAACAATTAAAATAATAAGATTAATCAACAAAATGTTGGAGGAAAGTAGTTGTCTATTTGGTCA